CCCCCACCTCGCGTCGCAGGCGTCTTCTTGACCCTCTTCTCCGCTGGCATCTGGGGAACTGTTGGAGGAATCTACAACGCTGCGCATGTGAGTAGGCGCTTCAGCTTCATAACGCAATGGTGTCTGCGGGGTACTTGACGTTTGCAAGGAAAGGCATTCCGTCACCTGGGAGCGGCTTCTGCATTGGCATGGAGTGGCCAGCCACCTTGGCGTGGTCGAAGAGCGGGAAAGCTGACGTGCGCTGCACCCACTCATGCAATCTTTGCAGGGCAAGAAGGAGCCAGGTGCCCCCTGATCCGCCTGCCATCGCTAGTCTCGCGACACGACACTTTGAATAGATTCATTGCCTCGCATTCCCACCTCTCGTGCTGTACATGTGGGTCGGCCTGCCTACAGCACATTGACGCTGCTTCTCTCGGGTCCGCCGCTGTTTTGGGTCATGGCTGTCGAGCATTCCATCCCTCCCGCTTGGTTGCGAGGAACACGGTTGCCTTATCAACGCTCCTTTTGCGTTCTGGTAGCCCATTGGTGGTGGTGAGAAGAGAGCTGCTGCTGCTACCGACGTCTAGATCACAGCCGAGAGCAATTGCGCCATCAAAGATGCGAGCGCAACTGAGCCTGAGCTGCTGTTGAGATTGCACGGCATCTTCGACTTTGATGATCAGGTGACGCTGCCGGTACTGCACATGTGATACGGAGGGCGTGGCGCCCTGTGCCGCAAGCGGAGGACCCTAGCTATACCGATGAATGACCCTGTATGCGTGCTTCCAGCGGTGCCCCTGCTTGTCGTTGTACGTCCTCTGTGCCTTGCCTGTCCAGCTTCCTTGCTGCTTCTCCCTTGGTGGCCTGCATCGCAACGGCGGTCCAGACGCTGTTACATCACGCTCGCTCAGGATAGTGAAGCTTGAATCGTGAATGTGAATCACCAATGGTGAATCAACACCGATCTGCCTGACGCGTCGGACGCAGTGCGGGTGCTTCCAAACTCGCTCCAACAGCCCCGCAAAAATCCATCCCCTCGACTGCAACATCCTCAGCATACTCT